ATATAGATATAGATATATATCTATATATATATATATATAGATATAGATATATATCTATCTATCAGAAGGTGATAAGAAAAAATGATTCTTACCATGACAAGCAGGTAGGTCAATGGAAAACACTGGAATCCTCTGTCCTTGACATTTCAGAGAAATTTGAATTCTGTAGAAGAGGAATAGGTATCATTAGTATCCCATATTACACATATGACATTCACAGTGCATTAATGATACAGCAGGGGTTGCAGTTAGTAAACAACACATGGCATTAGTACCACAGGCTATACTCATGCAGTAACAGATCACCACATTGTATGTGTGGGATGGATAGTAGAAGCACAAGCTGATGATGGCAGTGACATGGCATTACGTTGCATTAGTGCTACAGGTTATCAACAGCCTGTGTCTGTTTTACGAGACATATATGAAGCAGTAATGCTATGTTACCAACTCTGATCTACAGATCAGAGTTGGTAACATAGCATTACTGATTCATATATATGCCTCGTAAAAAAGGCACAGGATGTTGATCATACTAAAAAGACTTGACATGCATGCATTAGTGCTGAGTAGTTAGGACAGCGCTATGGCACTGGATCAGTAACATAGATACATTGTAGATCGCTGGCAGTAGGGGAACATCTCATTGTATAGAGGCACAGACACATAGCTGCAAAGTTTAGGCAATGATCGCCTACCTGTAGTGAGAGGATGCTGCCGCCGTGTTGTTGCTCTTCACCCAGTACGATCTGCAGGTCGAAGATGTAGTCGATGACATGTTGGAGGATCTCCACTTGGCTTAGTTTGCTCCCTTGAGGGATGCCAGGCACCAGCTCCTTCAGCTTGGAGTAGCAGTCATTCATATCATAAAGGAGACCCATGGGTTCTTCCACACCTCCCTTGTGGCTACTACTTCTGGCAATGCTCAGGCTCTGTTCAGACAGGCAGCACACAGCCTGGTAGCAGCTGGGCATGGCTCTCACTGGGCTGATGGCCTTCATCTTTCTCCTGCTGTAGACCTTGTTGAAATTCCCTGTGGACGATGAGCTGCTCCGTAACTAGGAGGACTGTAGAAGATCCAAAGCAAAGCGCCTCTGTGTACAAGTGATCACCAGTTGATGTGTGAGCTTGTCAAGCTCAGCGATCCATGCTCTTATATTGTCAGCTCCCCCCTCCTCCTCCCCCATGCAAATCAGCTCCCTTCTCTCCACCCCACAGCTCCATAATATTGAGATAACAGCTGGCTGAACGCTTTTAAACAGCTTATCCTGATTCCTGAGGACTGGAGACAGTGTCATTAATGTCACAGAGAGGGGGAGGAGGGGAGGGGGGCGATCCTTTACAAAACTTTCTGTTACATTTGCAATATTGGAATCCACAGGGGGCACAATCATAAACAACAGGCAGCATAAAAATAAACACATTGGGATTACTTTGTTTTCTAAATATGTGCGAACGCTAAAGTAAACAAAGATGAAACATTGAAAAGAAAAAGAAATGTAAACTTTGTTTTATAAATAGTATAAAGAGTATAAATGATTCGGATGAAGAAATAAATGAATCAATTCAGCTAAACTGCACTTCCCGCCATAGATGTGATTTCTGCTTTATTTCTGACCATGGCTCATTATGCCGCTATTTTAATCTTTACCTCCTTTCTGTTGCTAATCTGTTTCTTTAGTGTAAAGTCCATTTTCTTTCCTCCCCCCTCCTTTCCCTCTTCCCCCCTCCCTGCTGCCGACCTCCAGACTTTCTGGCGTCAGGAATATTATCCTGTGACCGAGGAGGGAAGAGGCTGGGAACTGAATGAGAAAACAGACTGTGCTGGGGGGTAGCCCAGTGTGCTGCTATGTGTTTAGAAATGCCTGCATGGGGCAGGACAAGCCAGCCCGAGGAATTAGGGCAAGCATCAATCACATACTAGATCATCATTACAGATATTGGATCATCAACACTTAGCTGAAACGCTCTTAGATATGAACAGAAACGCCATGAAATGCGCAAAAAAGCGCAAAAAACACACACACACACAAAAAGCTGAAACGCCGCCACCCTGTGAATGGGGGCCTTAGAATAAAATCATTATAGATATTGGATCATCAATACTTACCTTTAGAATAAAATCATTATAGATACTGGATCATCAATACTTACCTTTAGAATAAAATCATTATAGATATTGGATCATCAATACTTACCTTTAGGCCCCGTTCACACCAGGTCGTTTCGTTGCACGTTTTTTTCAGCACTGAAATGCATGCAAATCACAATCTCATGTATTCCTATGGGGGCCGTTCACGCAAACGCGATGAATCGCACGTAACATGTTTAAAGTAGTCCATGAGCTTCTTTTGTGGCGCTTATTAGCTTGTTTTGTTATAGACCTCAATGGAAACGTGCCGATCACCGCGTTTTTTAGCTTTTCTGCAGCTGAGACTGTTTTTCATTGGCCAACTGAAAACAAGCTGAAACGCTCTTAGATATGAACAGAAACGCCTGTAAAATGCGCTGAAATGCGCAAAAAAACACACAAAAAAAGCTGAAACGCCGCCACCCTGGTGTGAATGGGGGCCTTAGAATAAAATCATTATAGATATTGGATCATCAGCACTTACCTTTAGAATGAAATCATTACAAAGTAACTAATGCTGAGCTGGCTGATAATAATAATGTGGGCTGCTTTAAAGAGGACCAGTCATGGGCTCATGAAATAACTCAGACCTTTAGCCTCTAGTGACCTATACTTTATTTCAACTTCATTGGCCAAAGTAAAAACTCATGACTCCTGAAAATGTATTAAATGTGCAACAAAAACACTATGCAGGATGCAAGTGTGAGTAGAGACTTACCCCCACCTGTTGCACATCTACCCTTGCCCCACAATGCATGACAATAGAAATCCTATTGTTCTCTATGGAACCCGTTCACACATAATAATAATATCTTTAATTCAATTTATGGTATGTAATGCAGTGGCTCTTTGTTGTACCCTTAGGGTTGGTTCACACCATCTCCAGTGCGTTCCTGCATGGTTAGTGGCCGGAACACTCTGGATCGCATAGTGGAAGCTTGCCTGCGTTCTGAGGTGGAAGGGCGTGTAATGGTGCCATTCAAGTTAATGGCACCGTAGACACGCCCCCAGAACACCAGCTGTCTTGGCCCATGGAAGCTGGCAGAACTTCAGATGACCTCAAAATTTCAGGGCCCAGTCACACCATATCCAGTGCATTCCGGCATGGGCCATCGCACTGTGGGTGTGGGTGTGTGTGTCTGTGGTGCTATTGACATGAATGGCACCGCCATGCCCCATCCCGCCCCAGAACGCAGCCCGGCTTGATCTATGCGATCCAGTGTGTTCCGGCATTGAACCACGCCGGAACGCACTGGATATAGTGTGCATGGGCCCTTAGGGTGAAAGGGCATGTTCACACCAGCAGCCGCGCTCACCTGCAAGGCTGCTGGTGTGTTTACCCGTACAGTGCCAATGCGCTTAAGCGCACGTCTTGTAATTTTTGTTGTTATAACTTTATTGAAATGTCGCAAATTACATTACTTAAGTTCTATGGGCTCACTGCGATGCGGTTGTACCGCGTTTCACTGCAGTGCCCTTAAAAAAAAGTATTGCATGCCATACTTTTTTAAAGTGTACACCACCACAACGCAGTGGCGTGAACTGCGCTGGAAACAACAGGTTGTGCAGCTTTAACGCAGATGGTGTGAAGGAGGCCTAAAGCAGGCAAAGTGAAATAAAAGGGACATATTCATCTACCACAGGTAAGGTTTAGAATGATCTAAGACTATTCAGAGTCTTACAGAAGGCACGATATGGCCGGTTCTCTTAGTACCATGCTCTCGGGGACGGCTGATACATTTACTTATCCATCCCCACAGTTCAAACAGAGCCTTTTTTATTTTTTTCAGTTGACCCGCGTGTGTTTACACACTGATCCATTTTCTGCTGAGTGACACAGTCACACAATGTACATTGCATAGCAGTGTGTGTGTACACAGGTTTGGATGTGCACATTTCACTCCCCCTCCTTCCCTCCAGCAGACAGCCTGGCGCCAGCCCGTGACGTCACGGCCCGTCCGTCCCCCCCCTTCCTCCCTCACGGGGGACGCGTCTCCCTTGGCAACCACTCTACCGCGAGCTGTGGGCGGGTCTCCTGTCAAACAGCTGCAGCTGTGGAAGCCTCGTTCGCCCAGAAGCGTTCCCAGGAAATCCAAACCTGTAGCAGATCGTTTGGCCGCAAATGTACACACCTCTGTGTGCATAGCTGCATATACACAGGGCGCTGCTACCCTGCACAAGGTGTTACAAAGTCAATACAGCTGTGTATTGCCAGGACATGGGAATCATTTCTAATCCTACTCTATTAATAGCGTGACATCACGTGTTAACCCCTTCCATCGATATACTATGGGGAGCAGGGGGAGCAGAGAGAGCAATGGCCTATCTTCAACTACACGACCAGTTTCTCCCCTACTAAATTAAACATTATTAATGATGACAAATCCCTTGTTCTTTAGGGTGTGTGAAGTGATATAGTATCACATGCACTTTTTATTGGTTGGCAATTGATTTCACAACATATTGCAGCACTTGGATTTTGTTGTGTATGGGTGAGTGCCAAAAGACATCTGCATATGAGACTGCCCTTAATATGTAATGCTAGTACTTCCAGCCTGGTAAAGTGTAGATTTTTTCATCCTGCATTGATAACATGCTAAGGCTTGCATGGGACCAGGTGGGAGCTTTCCTGCCATTTCCCTGTTGCTCTATGTGGAGCTATAGCTCAGGCATAGGCAGCCTCAGCACTCCAGCTGTGGTGAAACTACAAATGCCATCATGCCTCTGCCTCTAGGAGTCATGCCTGTGGCTGTCACGGTCTTGATAATCTTCATGGGACCTGTAGTTCTACAACAGCTGGGGTGATGAGATTGCTTATCTATAGCATTAAGCTGGAGCTGCCTTTCCCTGGCTATGGGATATACAAGTCAAGCAATGAATAGGGGATGTGAAACACAGGGATCTTCTGATGTTCAGTAACAAATGACCAGAAGCCCTGGGTATGGTGGCAGTGAGTACATGTACTATTGCATAAAGGAAGGCTCTGTGATCTGACAGAACAGCATTCCCCTAGTGACCTTGAGGCTATGATGAGTTTTTGTTCCTCAAAATAGCATGTCTTTCCAGAACTGTGCTTCCTTATTATCAAAATTGAAGGGCTCAAAACCACCCATCTGGCCTTGCCCTAGGACTGACCTACAGCAGGATAGTGTCAGCTGTCACAAGGCTGTAACCTACACTTGCATGTTCCGGAATATGTGGACCAATAACTATTCATAATGGCGAAAGACTGTTGATTTGTTCTGTTGCCAAGACTCATGGTATGCACAGCCATGTGCAGTGCTGGGACAAGCTCCTTTAGTACCAAAAAGCCCTCTTCCCTATGAGCTGTGAACTACTTCAGCTGCAAAGGTTCTAGGTCCTGACATTATTGCTGCGCCCACTTAGGGACTAATTCAAGATGGCCATGCTTTTTCTAGAACACGGACCTGGCTTAAAAGAGGCATGGAGGCTGCCATTGCTGACCTCCTCTTCTGAAACAGTTGTTGCCTGGCTGTCATGCTGACCCTTGTGGTACTTTGAGTCACTGACCCAGAATAAGTATGCTGATCAGGACTATTGACTTTTCTGGCTCTCCTGATCTGCATGCTTGTTACAGGTCGGTGACATAAAGTATTGAAGCCAGTGGGTCAGAATAACAACCAGGCAACAAGTGTTTTAAGAAGAAGTTAAGAAATGTTAGAGCTCTAATTGCTCTCTCAACCTATCAAGTCTTTACACAAATCCTATCTGCGCTCCCATTCAATAGAAGAGGTAGCATACTCAACTCTCTGAAGGCCAGCGCCGGATTAGCATAGGGGCTACTGGAGCGTTAGCTCCAGGCTCACCACTGAAAATAGGCCCAGCCTTGGTATGCCCGATGGCAATCTGGGCCGGCTAGGCTGAACGGGCAGAGACGCGGGTGGCTCTCTAATCAGGCATATTGGGCGTCCACCTAATTAG